AAGTAGCAAGCCACACTGGCTCAGCCTCCCCCACCCGCCGCCTTGCCCGATCGGGTCATGATGATGCCTGAGTGGTGTGTGTGACTTGCTCCTGATAATTAGTTAGGCTTCCGCAAATCATCCTCCGAACTTCATACATACCGACATACATACCTACATACATCTTTTTTGCATTGCTGCCTCAATGCGACTTCAATTCCCCAACTTGTAATCACCCACCGCATCCTATCTCATGGCTGACGTTTCTGGACCTCACAGCGCCGGGCTCGACCCCGATGCGCCGCCATCCAGTGCTGGCTCTGCCGGCCACTCCGCAGCTAACGACCTACGTTCGGGTCCGCCCCCTATGACGGAGGAATTGAAGGCTAGAATGGATAAAGTCATTTATTCAGATGTATGGAATTGAAGCCACAACTGTCGCTCTAAGTCTATTACTTGTGCTGACCGCGATACCTTCTGTCACATAGATCGGTATCACCACTCTCCTGACTCGGCTCAAGCAAAGTGTCGCCTCCGCCAAGGTTCGCCTCAACCACATCACCACCGTGTGAAATCGCACAAATACGCTAACTAGCCCTGCACTGATCATCAGGACTTCTCCTCCTTCCTTAAAAAACGATCTGGTCTTGAAGAAGAGCATGCGCAAGGCTTGAAAAAGTTGTCCCGCTCGCTCCACGACGCGGCTCATCGCACGGAAAACCGCCAGGGCACTTATAGTAACAGCTACAATGACCTCAATCGCTTTCATGAGCGCATGGCAGATCATGGACTCCAATTCGCCGTCTCGTTGCAGCAGATGGCCGACGACCTCAATGAGCTAGCAACAAATATTGAACGTGGCCGCAAGCAATGGAAGCAGACTGGCTTGACTGCAGAGAAAAGGGTCCTGGAGGCCGAAGCATCCGCTGAAAAGGCAAAGGCCAAATATGTGTCATTGGCTGAACAGTTGGACCGTGTGAAGACGGGCGACAGACAGGGCGGAAAGTTCGGTCTGAAGGGCCACAAGTCCTCGGCTCAGCACGAGGAGGAGCTGTTGCGCAAAGTACAGAATGCGGATTCGGACTACTCTGCCAAGGTCCAAGCTGCGCAGACGGCTCGACAAGAACTTGTCTCAACCCACCGCCCTACAGCCGTCATGAACATCCAGAAGCTGATTTCGGAATGCGACTCGGGCCTGGCGCTGCAGCTGCAGAAATTTGGTGCGCAACAATATGCTTCCCCCACCCCCACCTTTTGCATGTTATCTGTGCTGACAGTCCGGAAGCCACTTTCAACGAGAAGCTGTTGCTGGGACAAGGATTGTCAATCAGCCCCCTGAAGGATGGCACGGCGAATCCTGCTTTGGCGCCAAAGAGCTTGTACGAAGTTGTGTCGCAAATTGACAACGAGAAGGATTTCCGTGAATACATTCTTAGTCACGAGAACAATCCTGCTGCAGTGACATCAGAACAGATCAGATATCAACGGCATCCGGTTAGCATATCTACCTGAGATCTTGAACCAGTTCAAGCTGACACATTCACAAGACTCTTGGTGGCTCTGGGCCTGTGGCAGCTGTCTCTGCACCCACAACGCAGAATAAAAGACAGTCGACTTTCCTCCCTTCCTCCTTCTCCACACAGACCCTCTCCTCTCCACAAGCATCTACCCAAACACCAGCGCCAGCGCCCGCACCCGCGCCTGCACCCACAAACGCTCCGGCGCCGGCGCCAGCTACTGAAACATTGCCATACCATCAAAATCCAGACTCGTTCAGATCACCGCCATACCAACCACAGCCACCTTATCCCACAAGCTCCTCTGGTCCTCTGGAGCCGCATCACGCTGCAGGTCAGCCACCTGCGCCGCCAGCTAAAACTCCCCTCCATGCGCACGGCAATGGTTTCCAGCCACACTTACCTCCTCTAAAGCCGGTGTTCGGTGTATCATTGGAGGATCTGTACACACGAGATGGGACAGCGGTGCCCATGATCGTCTACCAATGCTTCCAAGCTATTGAGCTTTTCGGGCTTGATATGGAGGGGATCTATCGTCTATCTGGAAGTGCCACCCATATTAGTCAAATGAAGGCACTATTCGACAATGGTGAGTCTTATAATCTTTCGATCCGACGAATGTGATCTAAACATATGCACGGCAGACTCATCTCAAGTGGACTTCACCAACCCAGAAAACTTCTACCATGACGTCAATAGTGTCGCGGGGTTGTTGAAGCAGTTTTTTAGAGATTTGCCTGACCCATTGTTCACATCGCACTATTATACCGACTTCATTCATGCAGCCCGTAAGGAATCCCTCCCAGAATACAAAACTCAAGACCAACTCTGACCCATGATCTCCAGGTCTCGATGACGACATTGCACGCCGCGACTCCCTGCATGCGCTCGTGAACAACTTGCCTGATGCCCACTATGCTACCTTGCGAGCTCTGATTCTTGTATGCCCACAGCCATTCCTTTTTAAACCCCTAGACACTTCTCCTGACATGTGACAGCATCTCAACAAGGTCCAAGAGCACTACACGCAAAACCGTATGAATGCAGGCAATATCGCCATCTGCTTTGGGTTCGTTCACCACCCATTCTTCCCCCTTTTTGTCCCTTGATACTATAAACTGACACCCGCCAACCCAGACCAACCCTCATGGGGGCCAGCTCCAGCGGCAACATCGCCGATGCAGGCTGGCAAGTTCGTGTCATCGAGACTATTCTCGTCAACACGTTCCAGATCTTCGACGACGATTAGATATAATCTTCTGATGGTGCTGCGCGGACATGACTAATGTTTTTTGTCCAAGTCGTCGGCTAGATATGCTAATCCTTGGCTTTTCGCTTCACCTCCCTCTTCTCACGCGGATACCACTGCAATTTATTCCCAGGTCTTTTCAAACTGCTTTTGTTCTCGTCTTTTTCCTTTGTTTTCAACGAGTTGTTTTCGAAACCCAAACGGGGTTTCGGTTTTCTGTACGTGTATATATGCCATCGCTACCCCACCTAATACTGGCACCGAGGGTGGAGATTTTGCAGCTCTTCATATGCTTACCATTTCTTCTTGCTCGTAGATGAGTGATGAGCTGAGTAAAGGCCCGCGTCGCTGACTCCGTAATGCGTCCTCTTCTTGAAGGTGTTAAGAGGGTGTCTACTTGCGACACGTGAAGTCGTATAGAACATTGAGATTGGATATAGTATATGATACATTGAACAGTGTGGGAGATCGTCCAATACACTGATTAGGTGTATCCAGCGCGTTAGTGACCCGTGGCATGAGTGACCAAAAAGATTCTAGGTAAGACAAGAGGATTGATAGGCGAGCAAGAGAGCAGCCCAAGAACCACAAAGAATAAGAGTATATGATGCAACGATTGGGGAAGGGAGAGAGAGAGAGCCTGGCTAATAAGACAAGAGACAAAAAAAGGAAGAGACAGCAATAGACACTTTTTCTGCGGGGAGTAGTGGCTCGTGACTATCGTATTGATACACAACTGCATTTTGGAAGACGAGGGAGGAGGGATCCGTAACCAGGTTTTAGTCAGGATTCCACGGCGCCGGTTGCATCTGACTAACTTGATCTCTGGGCTGTGAGGATGGCTGGGAGAGGAGGGTCCCCGTTTCTATGCCTCCCGCTCATGAGGTGTTTTCATGCCATGCCATCATTGCGGAGCTGGTTTTGGTCAGATCACAGCGAGGACGGGAAGGAACGAGGCAAACTGAGCAAGTGCTTGTCCAAATTTACCGACCCATTCCCGCCTTCAGAGCCTCCAAGCGCTCGGCGAGGGTCAGACCAGGAGCGAAGAAGGGGCTGGTCAGATCGTCGACTGTGGTCGGAGTGGCGTGACCCCACACGCGCCAGCCGGTATCCTCGCCCGTCCACCGGAGCTTCTGGATGACGATGTATTCTGTGCAGTCCCGCTGCTTTTCATTTGTAGCCACAGCGGTGGAGTCCTGGGCGGATTGTCCCTTGGCGGGCGCCGTGTACTTGCCGGCGGTCTGCTTGCTGGTGATGCGCACGACGACCTGGCGCACGCCCGAGTTCGGAATCTCGGGAATCTGAGTGGCACGGTCCGACACCACGCGGGCACCGGTCCAGAAGGTAGAGGCGTCGCGGTTGTAGTTGTCCAGGCTCCAGGTGACCTTCTCATTCTTTGGGCGCGCTGCGATGCGTGAGTTGAGCTCCTTGGCTAGACCGGTGCAGCAGATCTTGTTGATGGTGGCAGTGTCGCCCCTGCAGAACAAGGGATGAAGTAAGTATTGAGTTGAGGTTATGGTCTATATTGTTGAGGGGAGTCAGCGGCCGTGGTAAACATGGGGCACTCACGCTGCGAAAGCAGTTAACATGCGCCGGTGGAAGTCCTGGGCGATCTGACGACGCTCCTTCAATTCGAGGGGTAGTCCTTTGTTGAAGTATCGGCTGTAGGCGATGACTCTGTATGACCGAGTTAATTTCCTGGCCCAGCAAGAGCAGAATACAGATTGACAAGACCCAGAACCTACCCAATGAAATTCTGGACGGCGTGCTTCAGCCACAGCCATTCCAGCCGAAGGCGTTCATGGCGCTGATGGATAAAGGACGGCATATCCTTCCACAACGGACGGATGTAGGTGCCGGGCAAGAGGCCGATATCCTGCGGAAGCTCCGATCTCGCCATTTGTCTGGTTCTAGTTCTCGTACTGGGCTGAGGAGGAGGCCTGATTGAAACGGACTCTGACGGGCGCACGCCGCCAGGGCGCTGGATGGACTGCGAAAAGGAACGAGATTGGCATGATGCGACACCGGAGAAGACGAAAGAGGTGCTGCTGGCTCTGACGGCCGCGGACAAGGGCCCCTTGGACAACGATGAAGCCATGATGAGCGGAATGGACACGCGAAGTGTACCTCTCTCTCTCTCTCTCTCTGCAACACTTGGGAGGAAGGGTGGATGAGTTGGATGAATTGGACGAATTGGAGTCGAAACGCAAAAGAGAGCCGAATGGGGGAAAATCGAAACCCGCCAAAGTTCCGGGATGGTCACGTGCCCGCCACCGCCGCGGGCTTTTTGCTTTGGCTTTTGGCTGATTTGGCTTCAAGCCTTCGATTTGGATCGCGGGTGCCCTTGTCCAACTGGAAAGACGTCGGTTCCTGCCTAGAATTCTCTTGTCCGGTGGGATCAGCTGGTCTTTGATCTTCGGGCTCGTCAGTTCCCCAGTGATTCAACCACGATCGTCGCCGACGAGTTAATACCATAAACAACAAGGAAAAGCTCTGGTCCAGGGGGGTTCTTCTCCACCACATTTCAACCATCTACGACTTGGGACACCATAAATCTCCATTTAACTTATCTTCTCGACGTCCCTATTCTGTTGCGCAACGGCCGCATATGCCGTGATTTCAAGGCTGGCTCCTCCTCGTCGTCGTGATGCTGCATCTGCGCCCATCCCTATTCAACAATTCCGGTCACCAGTTGCGTCTGACCTGATACCTTTGCCCGATCCCTCCGACGAATCGCTCCTCCAATCTACCACCTTCTATAACTCGGTGACGTCCATTCTCTCAAAGCTGGATTCCCGCGACAAAGACGGGGCCCCCGCAGCCGTCGTCCCGCCCTCCTCCCCTCCGGCCCCTCAACCCCCTAGCAGCATTGGCGGCGGCGGCGAGGATGGCAGCGACAGCGACGGCCACTCGGTCCCCTCGTCGGCCCTTCACCCCCGTGTGGCTGTCATCCTAGGTGTGGATCGCAAATGGTACCTGCCTCTGGTGATCTGCCGCGCGCTGAGCACCGTCCCGGCCGCATGGTGGGGTTTGCGATGTGCGTTCACATTCTTGGCCGAGCTGCTGCACATCCAACCCGGAATGGGAGGGGAGGGGTGGGCGGCGGCGATAGTTGGGAGTGTCGGGCAAGACTGGGATGTTGAGCGAAGATTCCGAGTCACCGAAGTGGCTTTGGCGATTATGTGGGTATGTACATGTGTGCAAATCGCTTGTCTTGAATTCTCTCCTTTGATCCATCTCAAGAGAAGCAAAGTGTCTTGGTTTAACTCTCTCACAGTGCTGTGCATCCGCATATCTTTCTTACTTTTTTGCTGATTGTATGATGTCTCGATGGTATGTGTTCTTGCTCCGCAACTTTTGGGATTATTGGCAACAGCTTCGGCGAAAAGTTCGTAGGAACTGACTCCATTTTCTGCCTTCCAGGCTTTTGAACTATACCCCGCCAGCTGTTGTTATTCGTCTCCTCACTACGAACGGGTTGATTGCTTATATCACTTCTTGGGTCCTTTATCTTTCCGGGGCTTCTTATGACCCCCGTCTGCTTCTCCCTGCCTGGATCTCCATCACGACGGTAAGTTACCCCCCCCCCCCCCCAATACCATTGTTTATCCCCGGGATCTTATTTCAGTCACACTAAAACTTACTATCGTACCTTACAACAGACCCTCACCTTTCTCTACCACGCCACGCAAAACCATGCCACGATCAAGCGTGAAACGGCGGCGGCGCTGCTCGTCGTCGCGGTCGCCAGCTTCGTGAGCATGTCCTCCTTGCTCCTACAGTTGCACCTCACCCGCGAGAACGAACCCGAGGTGCCCGTCTTCGTCATCACCCGAAAACTCTGGGACTGGGCGGTTCAGATCTTCCTGCGCATGCGGGTTGCGGATAGTCGGGCGTATCGTCCGGGCGAACTGTAAAGACGGACTGACTGTAAGATTAACCCAGGTAGATAATGACTTCGTATGGGCCATGTCCATTTCGTGGTTTCCCTAAGTCAACTGTTCCCATAGCTAGCTACTACCTCCAATCTACCCCTATTGCTACATTCCAGTGTTCAAGATGCCTTGCTTTAAATTTTTTTAGCTAGTTGTGCATCCAAGTTGATCAAGATTAGCCCAGTATCGGTAGTCTACGTCATTCGAGAATGCGTTGTAGCCATGAACAAATATTCCATTCTTGGACAATAATACGGAAGTGACAGTCTAGGTCGGCATGTGCAGAAATAAAGACGATCGAATCACAGGAAATGAGAGAGATCAAGAATAACGACTGTTCCTCAATCTCCACCGTCAGACACAACCCTCTTCAAACATAACAGACCTTCAACTGTCCTTTCAGAAGAAAACAAGAAGCTAAGAAAAATATCTATGCAGATAAGGGTATCTACCAACGCCTCGTTCCGTCATTATCCCATTCCAGGTATCGCAGTTGAGTCGGGACATAAAACAATATCAAACCCACTGCTGCCCCCCTCCTCGGTGCAAGCGCCTTACGAAAGTGCGCTGGAGGAGAGGAGGGGAGTTCAACTTGACAGTATTCTTTTTTGATCAAAGCTTCAGGCCCTGTGTACCAAGCAAAGAGTGACTAAAAGGTATTCAAAGGCAACAGTTTCGGCAAGCCGATCGACTCACAATCCTACCTTGCAGTAACGCCGTGGTGCAACTGCAATGATTGGAGGGAAGCGACAGACAGAGAGACGATGTTGCTCTTCAAAGCCTTCCAGCACTGCTGAGTAGTAACGTGGACCGGAAAAAAAAAGAAAAGAAGGGGACCGGAACGGGGACGTGACGACGGGGTGCTTAGAAACCGTGGACCTTGATGGTCTTGGCATCCAGCTCGAGACCTTCCTTCTTGTCGGTCAAGAACTCCTGAACATCTTTACGCTGATCACCCTGGAGCTGAATAACCTCGCCCATCTCGGTGTCGTTCACGATGGTGCCATTGCAGGCTGGATTAATTATTAGTTGGATGCCTAAAATGTCGAGACGTGGCGGGCCTAGTTGAGACAAACCGAACTTCTTCTTGATCACCTTCAAGATCTTCTTCTGGTCAAACTTCTTCGGAAGACCCTGGACCGTAGTCAAGGTCTTACGACCATTGCGCTCTGCAGATCGTTGTTAGCCTCTGGTTTCGTATCGGACGACATGGACGAGATGTCACCACAGCCAACGAGCAGTGGGCAGTGAGACGGCGACAGCATGGGTGGAAAACGGGAGATAGGTTGATTATGACGTACGTTGAATCCGTATATGGATGTAGTTTTGAGACTGCTTGGTCTCGCCGGTGTCTTCGTCAGCTTCGGCGAAGGGGTCTATGGAAAAGGAGCACGTGTCAGCCTCAGGCTCATGACCTAGCATTACCCCGCCAAAAAGTGATGCGAAACCGACCACCTTCCAGAATACCAGCCGAATGGCCGTTCTGCGCCACCGAGTGACATTCAGTCTATCCTTGAACAGAATAAACCGTTGTACAGCAGGCTAGGCAGCATGCGAAGGGGTGTTTTCGCAATAAACGTCGACGTTGCCCACAGAGGAGGGGGAGGTGGCGAGCGACTTACCGAAGGTCTTAAGGTTTTCGATGGACATAAACTCGGCCTTTCGTCGTAAACGGCCCTTAAAAGCGGTATAGGTAAAGTGAGCGGAAGGGCGAGAATAAATATCTCTGTTCAAGCGGGGGAGCGATTGCGAGTCGTTGGAGACTGAGTGAGGTTCTTGAAGATGGAGTGTAGGGTGGGAAGGTCGGGAAGGAAGCAAAGAGAAGAACAGAAGAGCCTTTTGAGGGGCGCGGCTTGCATTTAGCGCCCTTGTGGGGGAAGGCGGTGTGGGCCTGACTAAGCCCAGCCGGGCAGTCTGAGTCTGGCTCAGTTTCTGGTACAAGTACTCCGTACAGAAAATACTAATTATCTATCATCCATCATCGGGCATCCGGTGGGCTATCGTCCGTCTGTCAAAGAAGGCTTGAAAGAGGCGTCTGGCTCTTCAGGGTTTAATTGGTTTGAGGTGAAAGTTCATGTTTGGTGGCAACCTGGAACCTTCTTCGGCGCATTGCACCCGGCTGCGTCTCCCCACTCACCACCAATACTTTTCGTGACGCTGCCGACGTAGCCCTTACGCACTGGCTGTTTGGCTGTGTTCCAGCCAGCCAGTCTGTACTGGGGTTTAATTCCAGGCTGTCAGATCCTCAGAAGGCTGGCTCTACGTACACATTTGCCCGCCAAGTTAATTACACTTTGAAGCTGTTCCTCAGCCTCTTGTCCTTGTTTGCCTTCGCATTAGTCTCTTTTGCTCGGTCTTTTCAGCTTCAATGCATGCATGCACTCTGCAACCATTTTAAGTTGCCACTGTCCCTTGTACTCCCCCATGCGTGGCGATAGCCAGCGCTAGCAGAGATGACATTATGGTATTTCTGGTATTATAGTATTCGTACAGAAACGTCGAATTCCCCTGTATATGAGAGCAAAGCTCCCTGGCTATGAAGCCGCAACACCAACCCCATTGACTTTCCCACTTCCCAGTCGGTAACGCTCGGATATGCTGTATGATTTCGATTGCAAATTCGGAAACGCCATGAATTAATTGTGTACCAAAAGACTTTCGCAAGGGTATGTTTGAACGGGCTTCCCTCAGGGAGAAGGCGAAGGCGAAGGAGCAGCAGCACCACGCGCGGTCTGAGGAGGCAGGAAGATGGGGAAGTAGGTCTGCATGATATCGATCAGTAACGAGGTAAAGGACCATACGACTGCTGCTGCAACGCAGAACAACACATACCACGACCAAAGCCATCACTAGGAACGCGCGTCGTTAGTCAGTCGTCCATACTCTATTGTCTTGGAGGCTGGGGTGCACGAACAGGACATCAATACAGACATATAAGCCGGGGTAGAAGCGTTTCTCTTCTGGTCTGGGGTCTCACCCAGCCAGCTCTGGAGAGAGAAGACGAAAGACACCCTATGAATGTGTTAAAAAGATAGCCACTCTGAAAGGTCGCTAGAAACATACCATCCGATCATTCTGATTGAGCCCCGGTAGTTAGCTACACGGGTCGGATTGACGTCTCAAAGATCAGTTCCCTGCTCACCTGTTCCTGGTAAACATCTAAAGAGAAGCCGATTAGTATCTTCTGGCTGTAAAGCGCGGAGCTGGACCGCAACTTACCGCAGCCATGGGCATGGTGCTAGACATCGCGCCTGTTCCAAAACATCAATACGAGCCCAACTGCGCCTTATAGTAATATGTCTTTCTATCGCTCGTTACGTACTGGACATGTCGGCCTCATTCTTGTCTTTCGGCGGATCAATGTAGGGGATGGCTAAGATGCGACGTCAGCATCAGCAAGAGTGCGCTTTCGGCGAGGTCCAAGGCTTGGGAGCAGTCAACATACCGAGATCCAACCTGCGCATATCCTTCTTGGTCGACATTTTGTGATATTCTGATTGTTATCTCAGTTCTGTTTCAGCCTGGGGGGCGTAAATCCGGGGTGAGAGGCAGTTGAACTGGCCAACCAAGCGACCAGCGCCGCCAAGCCCGAAAGCGGAAAGGCCGCTCGCTGGTGCAGCCTGTGCTTTCCATACTGCCACCATGAATGAGCAAACCTGTATCTCCCCGGCTTTATCTCCCTATCAGACCTCTACGTAATCTTTGGATAACACCAGATGTCAGGCACTCCTACTTGAGCCGAGCATCAGAAGACCAAAATATGAGTATCTTTCAGATCTACATACCATTAGGGTTATCATGTTGATCATAAGTTCTCGCGCAAAGATGCCTGCAAACGAGAACATCCGCTCTATCGGAACGCGACCGCTCGCCTCCGAGAGAAGGCAACCTTGGTCTTTTGGCTCGCTTGGAGTGGCCATTGAAACTCCCCGGCCCTGTGTTGCATATCCGATCTGGCCCCTTAACTGGAACGTAGCTGCTCCAATGGCATCAACCATTCAAGACGCCTCCAGGTACTATGTGATCACGAGAAGTTTGTTTGACTCTCGGGGAATTGCGCAAGCACAGTCAATGGCGGAAGATCGACAACAGCCCAAATGTAAGGCAACTCAAGTGCTGTCTTCTGGTCCTTGAGCCTTGACTGGTTATCACGTAGAATGGAAATGCACGGTCCTCTTGTTTTAATGTCTTGTACTACCTGAGACCGACTTATCTATCGCGGAATAAGAAGCATACCTATTCTATCGGTACATCTTTTTCAAATGACAGATACGAAGCTTAGTCACTGACGTGGAGCTGATCCGCAAGTGTGGCCAAAGCATTGAAATGCGCCTTCTCCGGGGTTCATCCGGATTGGGACTGTAAGTCACTATGTATTTGTGTGACAATGACACCTCCGGAGGCGCTTGTCGAGACCCAAATCTGATCCGACTGCGTAGGACTGCATCCTGCAGGTCGCTGAGATGGTGATTGTTCTGTCAGAGAATGAATGGGTTAATGGTGGGAGGATCCCGGTCTGTGCTTTGGCAAATCTCGGGCAATAAATTACTCCCTCCGGCGACCAAAAGGACACTTGGGCCTCTGGTTCGGTTCTCGATCATTACATGGATGGTGCGTGATGTTGTGTGCTGCTCAGGTGAAGATGAGATCTGGGGATAAATGGGTCCTACTACGTAGACATTGTACGGAATACTGAACAGAGAGAACGGACCACGTGAGAATTAGGCCATACCGGTTAGTGGGAGGAAGGAAGATCGACAGAATATACTGTGGTGGTTAGTTAGCCATGGAATTGGGATAAAGTGCGGAGAAGGATGACCAGATGAAAATGGTGCATCCATCATACCACACAATATCATGCCACTTGAGAGGGCCAAGCCGCCAACACCCCGTTCCCAGAAAGGTTCTCTAGAGTCTTGACGGGACTCTTGAGTCCTTGACTGTTTCCAAACCCCTCGGACGGCAATCGGTCCCGGGAAATGGGTCACAGAGCCCGATGGCTAAATTGGAGAAATCTGTGGCCCACAATGAATGGAGTGAGGTGGATTCATCTCTGAGTAGCAGTTCAAAAAAGAGGAGTTGCAGAATACTTAGAATTGCAGCTTTCATTCGATAAGAGTCCAGGAGACACAGAATAATGATGATTATCGTGGGTAACCGGGCATTTGCCATTATAGGTTCTGGGCGTAGGGTCGGTTTCAGCCGGTCAGGGCACAGGCACACTACGCGATAGCCTAGGTAGGCTAGATGGTTTACTGGCACATTTGAAGATCCCAGATGCGCTCACCGAATGTTCGGAAGTAGGACAACCCGAGGAAAAGATTTCATCCCCAGTTCAGAATCATCCTAGCCCAGTATGCACTCACTGTCTTTTTGACTGCCCACGTAGTCTGGCAGTAGGTAGTAGGTATGTAGTAGGTGATAGGTACGTGGTACGGAGTCTGTGGTGCATCATACTATGAGTGCTTCTTTCCTCCTCCTTTTGCAGCTCTTCCCCATCCCATGTGGGCTCATATGTACTCCGTACACGTATCACCCAGCTTACTCCGTATGTACAGCACCTGCTGTGCTGATGGCAGCAGGTTCAGTGCTTCAGATACCGCGAAGACAGTACTCTCCGTATGGGCGCAGGGATTAGCGCACGCCAGGGGGAAGATCTGCGGAAGATGATTAGGCTAGCCTGTTGGAGAAAGTCGTTTGTGCCAGGCTCCTTGTGGTTGAACCCTCCTGAACTAGGTACTGAGCATTCAACTGTGTGTGTATCTTGCTTGCGACTGGCCCTGACCATGTCCGATCCCGTTGATTAAAGAATGGGGTCATATGCCGCGATATCATCAGCTAATCGCGTGGATGTGCAGACAAGCAGGCCGATCCAGTGAGTGTGCTGTGGTCATCCCATCAAATGATGCCAAGAGAACCCTTTGTTAAAAATGGGGCTTGGAATCCCACGGGGGCTATTCGATGACCCAGATCCATCACTGTCCGGCCATTAGTCGTCTAGAATAGGAGAGGATATCCGAGTCATGAATGGGATGGATGATGAATGAGACTCTATGAGGAAAATGTTGGATGCATCGAATCGCTCGATTGTCATGGATCTTGGATCGGATTGAGTTCCGAAGTTCAGATACCCCGTAGATACGTAAGAAGAGCAAATGGACACAAAGTGATGGATCCCTCAGCCATCTGAATCCGGAGATAGAGAGGCAGAGAGAGAGAGAGAGACGATAAGTTGGAGGCAGATAACCGACTGGTACTTACTGTACAGTACAAAGTAAGTACTCCGTGTAATTGCCGTACGTACGCGTGCAGGGGGAGAGTTGGTTTTCTCACTCGTCCGAAGTCAAGGCCGGTAAAATCGCGGTATCACAGCCCCGTTCTCCCCATTCTTCCCATTCTTCCCATCAATCTCCGTGGTCGACGGGTGTCGATCCGGTAAGATTACATGTTCAGTCTGCTCTCCACCATAAGCTGATGCCAGTTGGTCCCTCCTTACGTTATCTCTCTATCTGGAGATCCAAGTCAACTCTCTCGGTCGCCGTACTCGGCTCTTTTCCTGTTCGGTCGCCTCCTCCCCCCCATAATAGCATTAGCATTCATTACCCTTTTACCTTCTTATCCTTTAGCATTTCCATTCTGATTCGAGTTTCCTGATTTCCCAATTCCCCTTCCTCTGACTTTCTTCTTCTTCTTCTTCTTCTTCTTTGTTCCCCCTTTACTCCTATAATCCCCAGACTTTTGTTCAGTCGCTATTGTCTCCTAGCGGACAGATCCACCTGCAGCCTTCCGCCTCTCGCCCCCCCCAAAAGTACAGTACAATACTCCTCTCTCACCTTTACCCCCGGTCCCCGACGGTTACCGTGATCAGTATAGCCGCTCGGTCTTGGATCGTCCACTCAACTCCACACCCTAGGGAGTCTCAGATTGGAAGCCCGAATGTGAAATTTATTGTCACCTCTTCCGACCTTCCCCTCGGACTCTCTGAACAACTGAATACCACGACTCCATCTGAGCCTAAGGCGAGCGTTCAACCCGTCTTCACCCACCGCGCTACTCCAATGACCAGAAATCCGACGCTGAGATACATCATGACGCTAAGATGATACCCCATCCTTCTGCCGGCGTCCAGCCGTGGAGTCGCTCGATGCGCGCTCCCAATAACGGCCTAGGACGCGTTGAGGCCTTCCAAGCGCTCAGTCAGTCCGAGCCTCAGTCGGAGAAGCCGCCAATGCCCATACCGTCATCGCTCCCCCGACAGCCGGCAGTCATCGACCTCACAACCATTCCCGGAGATGCGCAAGAGAGTGAGCCGCCAGCCAAGCGGCTGAAATTGGATGTGACATCAGGAGCCTATGCGGCAACAGGGAGTCCGGCACCGGCGAGTGGTGGTGAAGCGAGAACCACTCCGGGGACCGCGACTGCCAAACCACAATCATTGACTTGGCGAGGGCGGCCGGCATGGTCGTTCCAAGCTCTGCTGTCGGAGACGACTGGAGCTGTCGAGTTTAAAGATGACGATGTTACCGTACAAGGGAAGACCTCCTCGTCTCCGCCTCCTTTACCTCTCCTCCCTTGGAAGTATACTCCTCATGAGACACCGGCAACCGATGCCCCGAAGATTGCTGAAATTGCACCGGTCAAGGAAGTCAAAACCACACCGTATCGCATTGAGGTGCCTACGATTGCACCCAAAATCAAGGGAGAGAGTAAGTTGACTCATCCAGCTTTTACAGATAGAGGGTATTCTGACCCAACTTCACAGAAGTTGCGGACTTTTCCCCATGGACAGGCAACCACCCGGAAGATGTTCTTAATGAGCACACGGCGAAGCAAGGACACTATGACCGCACGCAGGTGTCCCAGAATGAGTCCAACACTGCACGGCCGTCGCTTTATGCCCAGTTGAAGCACCGATCAGGTTTGCAGATGCTTTCTTCCGTCTTTGCTGCTGCCCTTGAGAAGAGACAAAGCCACAATATGGTCACGGCTCCGTCGAGCTTCAAGCCACCCCCTCGGGTGACTCTGACGGATAACAAGCGCGAAGCTTGGCTTCGGGATCTTGCTAATCCATCTGTGCCCCTGCGCAGGCTGAGTCGGACGATTCCTCATGGTATTCGGGGCAAAGTGCTTCTCGACCAATGCTTAGGCAAATGGATCCCAGTCCCTCGTGCCATATGGCTGGCCAGATGTGTTGGTGCCAACGAAATTCGTGCGTTCAAAAGGAAGGGCACAAGCGGCGCACTCGCGCTGGGCTTGGAGTCCAAATGGGTTCGTGACTGGACTGCTACCGTTCAGCAGTTTCTGGACGGAGTCGTCGGTATTTGTGGTGCTGCGGACTGGAAGGTGAAGATGACTTATGCGTACGTCAATATTGTTCAACATTTCTCGCTTGAAGCCTGATCGCGCGTTACTAATTGTTGTACAGAGTCAGCCTTACATCACGGCTCTTCTTCGAACGCTTGCTCGACCATGATCAGTATCTTAGCTGGTTCTTGTTGTCGTTGGAAAACGCCTCGCTCAACACCATTCCTGTTTGGCTCTTGATGCTTGGCATATATTGGAGTAATATCATGCGTTACAGGAAACGTGGTCGGAAGTTGGCGGAGGTCCTGCTTGAGAAACTGCGACAGGTAAATATTGCAATCCCATGTTTTCTTATCCTTGTTCGACTGACATATTCGAAAGATCAAGAGTTCCGGCCATCACGAAACCCTTCAGCCGCTGATTGATCGGTTGTCCCGCTGTATAAGACGATTGGTCTTGGAGCATACATCATCTTTAATCCTTCCAAATTCCTGGACGACATACAAGGACTTGATCTCGTCGTGCTTGAACTTGAAGGAAACGCCAGATCAGACCATGTTCCATAACTTGGTGGAGCGCAACAGTCGTGT